CGCCTATACTGTCCACTTTGAGCCCACATATCTCGGCACCTATGAACGATATCAAAAAGTTGTCAACTGAAAAATTGTTAATCATAATATCAGCCACATTTTATCAGTTTACCACTTTTTGATATCGTTCATAGGTGCCGAGATATGTGGCCTCAAAGTGGACAGTATAGGCGCCCTTCTAGTCGACTCCTACTGTCAACTTTAAGCTAATATATCTCAATTTGTGTAAAAGATATCAAAGAGTTGTCAACTGATAAAATGTTTATCATGATATCAGTAACATTTTATCAGTTGACTACTTTTTGGTATCTTCTATAGGAACCGAGATATATGAGCTCAAAACTGGCAGCTTTGCACATTAAGGGATTAATTGTCTGACCCATTTCGGATTAGTATTTAATTTGACCTAGATTCCCATTTCACACATCTGCTCGTTTATCCCCAACAATTTTTGAAAATTTGGATTTTAATAATCACCAAAATGAGTGATTTGCTGATTTTTAAGTTGAAAAAGCTATTTAGCTAATCAGCTATCCGATTCCAAGAGTGACCTGTACCTTTAAACGTATATATCTCATTTGGTGTAGAAGATACCAAAAAGTGGTAAACAAATAAAATGTTTATCAAATTATCAGCAATATTTTATCAGTTGACAACTCTTTGATATCTTTTACACAAAATGAGATATATTAGCTTAAAGTTGACAGTAGGAGTCGACTAGAAGGGCGCCTATACTGTCCACTTTGAGGCCACATATCTCGGCACCTATGAACGATATCAAAAAGTGGTAAACTGATAAAATGTTACTGATATTATGATGAACATTTTGTTAGTTGACCACTTTTTCATATGTTTTACAGGAACTGAGATATATGGGCTCAAAGTTGACAGCTAGACGGTTTTTAGGGTCCAAAACAAAAAACCAAAAAATTAAAAATTTTCTAAAATTCAATTGTTTCCAATTTTTGAAGAAAAAACCTTTAAGCTATCACTTCCAAAGCCCCATTTCCCATCAATCACAACTAAAAAAATTCCTTTTTTCTCTCTGCGTCTCTCCCCCCCCCTCTCTCTCTCTCTCTCTCTCTCTCTTTCTGATCTCCGATCCTCCAGGAAGACCCCTGTTGTCCTCTTCTCGATGTTTATTGTATACCAAACAATTTCTTCTCAGTATGTGTGACCTTTTCTCTCTCTTCCTCTTTTTCTCTGCGTCTCTCCAATTTAGTATACTCTCTCACTCTCTCTCTAGGAAATGAAACAATGTATTATTAGCATCTGGATGAATAGATGGGGTGGGGAGGAGGAGATGGTCCAATCCTTTTGAGAGAGAGAGAGAGAGAAAAGAGAGGATGGACCATGTGACAGGGAGGATTGACTGTTTGGACCCCCGAAGGGTTTTCGAATTTTTTTTGAATTGTTGAATTTTTGAATTTTTGAATGTTCAAATTTTTGAATTTTTGAATTCTTGAATTCTTGAATTTTCAAATTTTTGAATTTCTGAATTTCTGAATTTTTGAATTTTTGAATTTTTGAATTCTTGAATTTTTGAATTTTTGAATTTTTGAGTTTTCAAATTTTTGAATTTCTGAATTTCTGAATTTTTGAATTTTTGAATTTTCGAATTTTTGAATTTTTGAGTTTTCAAATTTTTGAATTTTTGAAATTTTGAATTTTTGATTTTTGAATTTTTAGGGATTTTTGAATTTTTAGGAATTTTTGAATTTTTGAATTTTTGAATTTCTGAATTTCTGAATTTCTGAATTTCTGAATTTCTGAATTTCTGAATTTCTGAATTTCTGAATTTCTGAATTTCTGAATTTCTGGATTTCTGAATTTCTGAATTTCTGAATTTCTGAATTTCTGAATTTTTGGAATTTTTGAATTTCTGAATTTTTGAATTTCTGAATTTCTGAATTTCTGAATTTTTGAATTTTTGAATTTTGAATTTTTGAAATTCGAAAATTCTCGAAACCCCCAATTTTTCTGCTACATTTCGTACCCAGAAAAATCTTGTGTACTTTTTTGAGAGATTTCGAGAAACAGACAAAAAACGTTTGTTATCACTAAACACTTATATTTATCATCTGTCACAATCATATCACTTTTCAATTTTTGTACTTTTTGACACGTATTTCTAAAAATTGAATGTGCCTTTGAAGAATTTTTATGAATTTCAATCGTTTTTGAATATTCAACAGAATTACCATAAACACTCTAATAGAACGGCACCCTGACCGTCCAAATTGAGCCTATATATCTTGGTTCTTTTGAAAGATATCAAAAAGTTGTCAACTGATAAAATGTTTATCATGATATCAGCCACATTTTATCAGTTTACCACTTTTTGATTCGTTCATAGGTGCCGAGATATGTGGCCTCAAAGTGGACAGTATAGGCGCCCTTCTAGTCGACTCCTACTGTCAACTTTAAGCTAATATATCTCAATTTGTGTAAAAGATATCAAAGAGTTGTCAACTGATAAAATGTTTATCATGATATCAGTAACATTTTATTAGTTGATCACTTTTTGGTATCTTACACCGGAACCGAGATAAATCGGTTCAAATTTGACAAAGACTGGTGACCTTGCCTCTCCTCATATTTTTATTATATATCCGACTCACAAAAAATTTATTTTGCCGATTTTTTGTTCTCCAAACAATCTCTCCAAGACATCTGTGTTCAATTTTTCATCGTCTTGACATATATCCCATAAATTTTGGTTGGATTTCCTTCCTCCAGATGTCTCTGG